AATTACTCAAGTGTTACTACATACTTCTGAAGGAATTACTAATTCTTTTAAGCTTTTGAGGTTTTTGGTGAAGTTTTAGATAGTAATTCCCATAGAAGTATGTAGTAACACTTGAGTAATTACTAGTTAGTTACTATGATCTTCACTTTAGAATACGGATCCAAATAATTAGTCATTCCTTTAGAAGTATGTAGTAACACTTGAGTCATTACTAGTTAGTTATCATGATTATTACATGAAAAGCCAATCCTAAAGTGTAGAATCTTCTAATCCCTCACAAGATATTTGCACGCACGTATGAGGTAGGAGACATTAATAAAATCTTTCTTTCTTTTTTTTTGCGAGGTATAGGTTAAATAATAAAATCACTGTATATGGTATTTGGATGGCCGATAACTCAATATGTTCCAGCCGTCACCGTGACTCTGGCCAATTTTCTGGCATTCCTCTGGACTGGCATTGAATCACTACAGGACAAGTAAGGTCCCGACAACTGCATTTAAAAAGCCATTTCTTTAAAGGGGTCATATAATGCCATTTTTGTACAAGCTAATATGATTCTTTAGGGTCTAAATTAAAAGTTTGTAATATACTTTAATTAAAAATTCTCATTAGTATTGTAAGATACCTGGTCAAAAACAGCTCTGTTTTCAGCACGCCGTTTCAGTGCATATGACTTTAAATGATCATGAGCTTTGCTCACCCCGCCTCTCTGTTCTGCGCATACACCGTTTGTAACACAATAACACAATAACCATAACGCGTTGTTCATTATAAACGTGGGATTATGAATTATATTGAGAACGTTGTACATAGAAAACATGCTGTAATGTACCCTGAGTGTAAACCGACGCATTCATCGTGAAGCGTGCAGCTGGCGATTTGCAAAGATTAATATAAATATTAATATAAAGATTAATAAAACGTTACACTCACTTTAGTTCTTCTGAAGGTTCAGCAGGAACACGAATAGGTTCCGATCCTTTATTCAGGTGCAGCTTCTCAGCAAAACCAGCTTTACACTGATCCTCGTTTATAAAGCAGTCCACTGAGAAATGATTCGGCAAACATGAGAGCATTGACGTTGCTCGTGGGGAATATTCCCTTCGAAAACAAACTCAGCCACTGCGTCTTCAGCGGTTCGGATTTAGGAACATTAAAATGACTGTGTTCGTTATTACACCCAAGAACAGAACACCACAATCGCTTAGACGCCATTCTGCTCATAGACAGTGCTCCAGCATATCAACAATGGCCGCGCCGATCCGCGCGGACTATGATTGACAGGACGAGCGAGGGTCTGTGTTGAATCACTGCTGTCAATCAACAATCGCGGGAGGGGCGTCCGTTTTATTGACGTCACAAAAACGAACGGCTCAATTTGAGGCAGGGGAAAACATATAAGGAGATTAAAACAAAACCACTGGATGGATTTTTATCATTATATGATGGTTGTGTACAGGCACTGCCAACACACATTTCAGTACAATCAACTTGTAAAAGTGCATGTACCATTATATGACCCCTTTAAAATTATTCAGTTGATAAATAGTTCTCTAGGAGAGAGCATAGGCTAATTATTTCCCAAATCATAAGTCTGCTATGCTATTACATATTGATAAACCGTGTGTATTTGTTTACAGCAGTTATTAATGTTAATGTAGTGCTAGTCATTTGTTCTGCATTAGTTATTGATTAGTTTTGCATGAACTATTAATATTCTTCAGTAGTTCTCTGGGAAGCATAAAAAAAATAGTAGTTATCAATTAGTTAATTGTGAACTACCACTTTCATCTGTGCGCTGTTACTTACTAATTCGTTAATCAGAATTTCTTGTTAGTTAATAGTAGTTACTAGATTGTTAATATTGTGTTACTCATTTGTTCCTGTGTAGTTATTCATTAACGAAGGAACCGTATTCTAAAGTGTTACCCTAACTTCTATGGGCAAATTGTTCCACAGCCGAGGCCCAACCACAGAAAATGCTCAATCCCCTCTGCGTTTAAGTCTGCAGTGAGGGACTAATAACAGATTCTTTTCACCTGATCTCAGACTTCTTGATGGAGTATATGGTTGTAGCAGTTTAGATAGGTAGCTCGGTGCTTGGTTGCATAGAGATTTGTACACAAATAACAGATTCAACAATTCTGAAATTAATGGGCAACCAATGAAGAGACCTCAGAATTGGGGTGATATGGTCACTTTTCCGACTATTTGAGAAGAATCTTGCGGCGGCATTTTGCACCAATTGAAGACGAGCAGTTTGAGTTTTCAAAATACTGCAGTAATCTATGCGTGTGGTGATAAAAGCATGAACAGCCATCTCAAGAGTTTTAGGATTAAGAAAAGGTTTGACTTTTGACCACAGACGAAGTTGATTAAAACTAGAGCTTATTACAGAGGAGATTTGTTTATCAAAATTTAAAGACTCATCCAGTAGAACGCCCAGGTTCCGTACACTTGAAGATCTAAAAGCCGATAGTCTGCCTAGGTCGAAGGTGGCAGCCTGGGGATTAACAGTGGACCCAAAAACAATGATCTCTGTTTTGTTTTCATAAAAAAAAAAAAAAAAAAAATTGGTCCAACCAAAATTGTACTTCATCTAGACAACCTAAAAATGATGAAAGGGCAGAGGGATCATTTCTCTTGATTGGAACATACATTTGAGTGTCGTCTGCATAACAGTGAAAAGATACCCCATGTCTTCTTAGAATGGTGCCCAGCGGTAACATGTAGAGGGAAAAAAGAGAAGGCGCTAAGATGGATCCTTGTGGAAGACAACAGTTTAGATGCGCAACAGAAGAGGAGTAATTTCCTAACTTTACTCTGAAAGTTCGACCCATGCTTAAAAATAAGAATAAGGTCAAACTATGATTCATAATCATAGATTCAAGCTTTTTCACTGCCATCATTTAAGTTCATATTGAGGTTTCGCAAATTTGTCTTTAAACGGTGCCTCTGTTTGAAAAACAGCGTTCAGTCATAAAATTCTTTGTTTTTTCTACAAACTGTGCTACATCTGGAAAATACTCATTGACGAACACCCCCCTCTTATTCTTTGTATATTTAAGAAACAGTTTGATGTCATCTACATCATAATTGCGGCAGGAAAGCTCACTTTGTGACAAAGTAACACTTGACTTGAGTCAGATAATTCACTGTCGCTCTCTGAATCCACCTGATCAGCAACATCTTCAAGTTCTAATTTCTTTTGTTGTCTATGAGCTATAACTGACTTCTTCCTTTTTAGTGGCACTTTAAATACTGTTTGTTCTGAAACAGATTCATTAGGCCTACCGTCAACCTCACGAACATCCCGCATAACAATGTCTGATTCTGTTTTATCGCTTGACTCACCTCTGTCTTCCTCGTTAACAACAACTTTTTCAATTTCGGTTTCCTCCTCCACTGAAACCACATCATCCTTCAAACTCCCATCGCGTTGAGCTCCATCAAGTTCACTCGCCCACACCACCGCTGATTCCGCCTCAACCGCCGGCTGCACAGTGACGTTAGCTACACCTTCAGTTTCAGCCAAACGATTGTCGTCTTCTTGTTTGCTAGGACAAGTTCGAACCAAATGACCGACTTTACCACAGCCGAAGCATTTGATTTTATCAGTGGTGATGTAAACCACATAAACTCCTCCACTCGAAAATTCAACGCAAGATCTAGATCAACGTCGTTGTTTACAACCATGTAAACTGAGCGTCTGAAAGACAACATGCTTCAGTAAAGGAGAAACGCGGCCGATTGGAATCTTTTTAATCGACTAATTTTCCGTAACGAGATAGAGCCTGTGTCAAAACAACATAACTAACAAACGGCGGGACATTCGAAAGGGTGACTCTTTTAGACAGCAATGAAAGGGGCAAGACGGGAGTGAGAACACCGTCGAGAATAATTCCCCTCTGAACTACCTCATATGCCTTTTCTACTGTATTGAAAAAAATAACAATAGCGCTATTCATTCTCGAGGCAGACATTATGTTTTCATACCCCACAATTTCCCCCACAGCCAAACAACAGCTCTCCACACTCACGGTAGACGCCACTTTTACCCCGTGACGACGTGTGAGTGAACTCAACCCCCTGTGCACCTGGAACCGCCATGTTTCACACACACCAAAAAAACCACCCCCTACAAAAATAAAAAAAACCTCTCTAAACCATACACAAAAAGAAAAAGAAAAAAAAAGATAGAAAAAATGAAACACAAGCACGAGTCACCACTCACGCTCACACTCCCAGCATGCACTCCGATAAAGAGAGAGAGAGAGATGTCATGGAAATTGATTTACAAAGACCGCAAAGAATAGGCCTACATAAAATGTGGATAACAGACACATGTTGGTTCTTCCCCAAAGCGAGAACATGTTGCATATGTCATATGTAGGTCTATATGTTTTATATATTGTTTGCCTTGACAACACCGTTCATAAGAGATGCAGCTCTGAAGAGCGACATTATATTCACGAGTTACTGTAGGAGCAACAATTACACTCTTCTCAATTATTCCAGATTCCTCGCCTGCACAATCACAAGAAGATCATCATCATTCAAAGAAACCTATGTGACGCACTTGAATGTGTCCTGACAGTGTGTCCCCTCTGTAAGCGGATATATGTACATGTGTATATGTGTGTACATAAATAAGCAGTGATATTTAAACTAGATGTCTCACTATGAAATTTTTATTATTACTCATTTATTTTTTTCCCCAGGAATGGCTTCCCCTCGGCTGCAAACTACTGTACCTTCAGTATATTACTACAGTCCATTAATAAGAGCAAATATTTTGCATATATACTATATATCAAATCAAAATGATAATATATCAAATTGTAGTATTGGAATGTGTTACAAATTGCAAAATAAAATGCAACTGTAACACATGACATTTTATATTTAATTTCCTATATACCATAGGTTTTATATGACATATTAAGCCTCCTAAATAAATACATAATCTTCCAGAATAATTTATCACATTTTATTACCAGTCGTTATGTCCGTGGTTGTAGTTTCCGTGGTTTGGATTGTGGTTGTCTCTGCTATAGTACTTCTAACTGAAAAAAAGAGAATAGACTATTACATAAAAACAACTCTTACATATACAGAGGACACATGTAAATATATTTCCCTGCACAGGTGAGATAAAACGGAGCGTTGGATAAAACATATGAAACAAAGTCACAATTGTGAGATATAAAGATTGTCAGACATTTATTTATGTAATGCATTTGGATGGAAATGACATGAGTGTGTTGCGAGGGATTTGTTTCGGTATAATGACTGAACGCAAAACAACCAAGTGTTTGAGATTTGTGCAGTTCATAAATGTCACAAATTTCAAACACATTGTGCCTGGCTTCGGGGTTTTGTCTCAAAACATTTATGTGTTGCAATAGAACTGCAGTGTATATTGATTCAGTAATTTTATATGACAGATTATAAAACACTCACCATTAATCATCAGCAGCGACACACACAGTGAGATCAGAAACCTCATTGTGACAAACAGCACCTGCACACACATTTACAACACACACGCACACACACACAGACACACACACACACACGCACACACACGCACACACACGCACACACACACACATGAAATATGTTTCTTATATGTTGTTGTATTTTATTATTTCTTTGTTGTGCACATTTGTAAAAGAACTATAACATTCACTTAAATACTTAAATAAGAAACAGCCAAACTCATTAGAGCCGAATGGGATAAAACAGAAGTAACTTTACCTGAGGTCAGATCGGCTGCAGAGCAATCTCAGATTGATGACTGGTCTATGAGATTCTCTCTTCAGTAGTTCAACACAGTGATGCTGAACTGCAGATCTCACAATCTCATCAGTGCCTTAAATACCTGTAGGTGGACCTTTACTGGAACTAGATGTCATTTCTCAACAATTTCTTAAACCAGTTTTTTTCATGTGACATTGAGATATTTGTTATTTGAACTGATAGTTTCCTTGTGAACACCTGCATTCAGAAAGACATTCTTTCACTTTGTGCTTGAATAGATGTGAATATAGATGGAATGTTTTTTATGAATTTGTTTAGCACTTTTCCAAAAGCAAATGTACAAAAATAGTAAAACACACAGTGAGTGACCCAAAGGTCACTGGAAAGATCCATGTTAATTTAATGGTGGTAATTAATTATTAGTTTAAATAATGGTCTCATTAAAAGCTTTAGAGTTCATCTCTAATACATATTGGATGCAGGCAGTGGTGGATTGTGCAAACTAACACAATCATAAGAGAAATACAAAAAATACATATCAAATGTTTTTTTGAAAGCAACTAACACCTCAAAGCTAAACCCTGAAGTAAACTGTAATGGCTTTTAAAACAGCTGGGAAACGGCATGCTAGTTTGCAGATTAGCATTAGACAAACGGGTGTCTAATATTTGGGTATCGACAGTGATGGAAAGAACAATGAGAAACAGCAACAAATTCAAATCATGGAAACTAATTTACAAAGACCGCAAAGAAAACATCAGATTAGGCTAACAGACGTATCTATGAGATTCTGATAAGTGTGTCATCAGTTTTTCTAAAATGTTTATGCATGGATACATTTGAGTTCACATTGTGAATGCTTGAGTTAATTATAATCTGTTCTTGTGTCTTCTGAATGTGAACATGGTTAAACCATGGTGAAGAATGTGGGCATTTTTGTGTAAAGTTTTGCAGAAAACGTTGAGAAAATTGAAATGTGTTTGATAACAGGTGAAATGTGTTTATAGTTTTGAGAAATGTGTTGTTGTCTTAAGAACTGAATTAATTGTCATTGTGAATGTATCAGTTCAAAAAATAAATTTGTATTTTACATTCTCCCTTCCCAAAATGGGAAGAGTTTAATGCATTATGTGAACAGCATTTACAGCAAATCCAGGTCAGTATTCAATTATGCATAAAACACTTTTTGACAAGCTGAATAAATGAACATTAATGTATTAAGAAGCATGAATTAATGAACAGGAGTTTATTTTAAATATTATTAAATAAATCATTTGTTTATTGTTCATTTATTTTTTGCATTAGTTATAAAGTTAACCATAATTCACACGCAGTAAATCTGGCACTAATATAAAGAACATTTAATTCTCTGAACTACAGTAAAGTATGAGCATCTCATGAAAAGGACTGTGTATTTCCTTGATTAACCTGATATTCAGGTTCACTGTCATTTTTTACATTTCAGAGGTTTTAGGAAACCAACAGAATGGATTCCAGACGGTAAATGATGAAGTCACCAAACTGCAGTTGTCAGTGGGTTTTTCCATAAATTTTTGCAAATGTAGTTGATCTGGATTCCCCAAATCTACTTACAGTACATGACTGTCACCACTGCATTAACAGTCTTTTATTTTATTTTGCATTATCACACAATGGCAAATACTGTGTGGTGATTGCAGTTTCTGAACATTTTTACAAATGGGCAAAATAATCATGTTAAAACCAATCATCAAGAATTCAGTAGATAATGATTATGTGATTATTATTAATGATTATTATCGATAAAGACAATAAGACATTCCTCTATGAATGTACAGCACAAACCTGAACATTGTTAGCTGATCGTATCTATTGGCTCTCAGTGAAGCTCAAACCTCATGTACAAAACAGACACTGAAGAGGACAAATGCTGTTTAATTATTCCCTAAACAACCTCTGATTGATTAGCAACTAATTGAATTAAAATAGAGACAACTTTGACCCAAATGTTCATCATAAGCTTTTGTGTCTATAAGGTAAATGGATGTTAAAGTTGCTCTAAGCGATGTCACACGTTTTTTAGGCCAAAACATTTTTTGTCACATACAGCAAACATCTCCTCACTAACCGCTGGCTGCCTGTCCCCTAAACACACTGTAAAGAAACGCGATCTATGCAGACAACCCAGGCTCCACAAATGGCAACAAAAACAAACTGCAGCAACCCGCTCCACGAAACATGACAAACTGTTCCAGCCAATAACTGACAAGAAGGACTTGGGGGCGGGGTTTGGGGGGTCAGTGTGCGGATGAGGAGGAGGGAGGGTCTAGCTAGCCTCCGTTTTGTTTGAAAATTATTTAAACGTCAACAAGAAGTCACGTCACCTGACATCGCTTAGAGCACCTTTAAGTCAAGTCAAGTCAAGTCACATTTATTTATATAGCGCTTTATACAATACAGAGTGTTTCAAAGCAGCTTTACAGAGATAACAAAATGCAACAAAGTTTGTTTCCAGAAGAAAGAAGCGTCACAGTCCAGCTTAAGTAAGTTCAGTGATGTTTAATTTTGTTGTAAAAGTTGTCAGGTTTATAATGGACGCGCACTGCTGTGGAGATGCTGCGGCAAATGTGTCGCATTATTCATATTGCGTAGTTATACCCAGTGGGGAAACTCATTTTCCTTGAATTCTGAAGCTTAAAATGTAAAACGCATTTTGCAGCAGCACAGCCAGCTGCGGCAACTGCACATCCAATGGCGCGGGTGGCTCCAGCATGTGCGCCAATGAGCTATTTTTAGGTCATACACGTCAGAGCCCGCCACAAGGGGCTTGGCCCTAGCCCATAAAAGCCGCCGAAATAGCCATTTTGCAGATTTCATCTCCTTCAGTGACATACTTCACGTCTCTTACCCCTTTTCCACCAAGGCAGAGCTGGTACTGGTTCGGAGCCAGAGCCTAGTTTCAAATCGGTTCTTTGTTTTTCGACCACCAACCAGTAAAAGTGGTTCTTAAGTAGCACCAAATCATTGCTGGTCTAGAAGTAAGAACCGCTTACGTCAGCGGCTGGGGGCGGGGTTGCCGTGACCAACAAGACGAACAGAAACTTGTGACCGCCATTTTTTAAATAGCAGCTAATCATGCTAATAGCAGCTTGATTGTAATCTCCGTTAAAGCAAGTTACGGCGAGCTGCACAAATGTGCTGGATTCGCCGTGTTTGGATACCGATGTAGGTTTGCAAAGCCATGAGTAACGTAACGACCGGCATTGTTGATGGAAGGCTTGTTCGAGATGCATCGGAGCGGCGTGGACTGATCGGAGCTGCGGGAGTGTTTGGAGAGCATACGACTACTTCTGCTTTTGGATCGCTCTCGCAGTTCGAGATTCGCAGTGACAAACCATCTCGAACAAGCCTGGTGTGTTTGTGTGTGCCGCGCTAGCGTTGCTGGGCAACATGAGATGTATACAGTGACGTGAGATCTGGCTCTGTGATGGCTCTCTAGCCTGTGGAAAGGCAAACCGGTTCTTTGAAAGCTCGTCAGTCGAACCAACTCCGAACCAGCACTAGCTCTAGCTCTGAACCAGCACCTGGTTCTTGTTGGTGGAAAAGGGGTATCTGAGTCCTCTGAAAAAGCTTTGCCGTGGAATCCAGCTCTACAGTTAGAGTGTGCATCTCTCAGCGGATGTCGCCTTCATTCCAGAAGCCGTCTTTCCCTGTCGTGTCTCTGACCAGCAGGCTCCGTCACAGGCCTGCTCCGTTCTTCCCCGAGGTCCATCAGGAACTGTCGAAGACGTGGCGCGCTCCCTAATCTGCACGCACAGGATCCTCTGTCGTATGGAGAACATGGTCGTGCTCGAGAGCCACCTGTGGCTCTCACTCACGGACATCAAGGAGGCAGATAGAATGGTGTTCCTCGATGCCCCGGTTTCCAGTTCAGGTCTCTTTGGCCCGGCGGTGAAGGGCTCCTCTGAGAGGTTCACTGAGGCTCAGAAGTCATCCCAGGCGATGCGACACTTCCTCCCCAAGCGTTCTAGCTCGTCCTCGAGCAGGCCCAAGTCCGCGCCTTCTCCGTCTCCTCAGCGAGCAAAGCCCGCCAAGCAGGCCACTCAGCCCCGCCCTGTGGCTGAAGCTCGCCAGCCCGCTAAGCAAGCTAAGCGCCACCCACAGCCCCGGCGCCAGGGTCAAGGGTCCTCGTCCCAGCAACAGGTTGGATCCGGCTTCCTCCTAGCATCGGGGGGGAAAGGGAGGGCTCGTGTTTCGCGCTAGCCGGACCACCCTCCAAGAGGCCCAAAAAACTTCTCACAGCTCCTTGTTTAGTTCAGGCGGCTGGGGATTTTACTACTGTAAACAGACCCGCTGCACTGCGCGCGCCTTTGCAAACAAATGCTGTTTTCATGGCGACCCAAATAAAGCACAAAAAGAGTATGTTTCAAGCACGGGTTCACCACCCCCTGTAAGCTCAGAGTTCTAGAGCTGCAGTTCAACCAGCTACTCGGTGCGGCGTTTTGCATGGCGTCCCCACTGCGTATAGCTACACAATACGAAGTGGACGTTCTCGAAAGGGAACGTACTCGGTTACTAACGTAACCTCGGTTCTCTGAGAGTAAGGTAACGAGTATTGCGTATAGCCGGCCGCACTGAGTAGCACGGCAATATGCCGAATACCAAGCTTACATTAGCTACTATTCCCCACCAATTCACAAGCACAAGAAAAAAGTATTTTAAACTTACATTTAATACCCCTGGAACTCAATGGAAGTTGATTGAAGATGGCATAGTTGGTAGTGTTGTTATAACCAGTCAACTGAACCAACAATCTTTTCACAAAACTGACAAAACCTTGTCAAACTGTCAAAATCCATCAACATTCCGTGCATGAGCTACTTTCTGACATTCAAACTGAAAGTGGGTGAATATCAAAATACATGATAGAAACATTTTGTTAAACCACTAACAAGTGTTATGTTGACAACACTATTGAAACAATTACTTTGTATTACAACCTTACATGAATAAATAGGCCATTCGGCCCTGGAATAATAGGGTATTCTATTTGTCCATTCTATTGGCTCTGTTCTGTTTTGAAGACCTATTTTAAAGTCTAATTTAAGGCTCTCAGAAATAAATAGTATGGGTATATTATACATTTTCTGAGTCATCAGACTGGCTTGAGTATTGAAGTTGTTGAGTTTTGTGTCCCTGGTGTTCTGCCACAAGAATAAAAGAAAGCATACAGTTTAGGCGGAAATTGTGAAAAAATGTGTGTTATTTCTAGTTTAAAGAAGTCATGTGACCTCTGTGTTTGTCAGACAGATTCACTACTGGGCTTAAATTAAAGCCTAAAAGTTCCCCTTTCCAACGATACCAAGCACCATATTATGGAATAATGACAATATCCCTAGCATGAGCTTAAACCAGATATACACCAGATTTTAAAAAACTGAATTTATTTTAGGGGGTTAGTAACTTTATGAGCTGGAAAAAGTGATTTCGCTACCACCTCTGCACTGCTATCGGGATTTTTCTAGTACTAGGGGTGTATACCTTGCCAAAAAACAATGATAGCATTTGTCCCCCCGATGATACCGATCAACCCCCCTGGCTCATGGACTAAAAATGTGGATGTGAAATGAGAAATAAGCTAATGTAAATCTGACACATTTAAAAACCTGCTATACTGAATTTACTGGCTAAACTACAACATGACATACCAGGCCAAAGAGTCTTTCACATGTTCAGCATGTTAACCCTTAAGACCAACTGGAAAAATCAGAATAAGCAGTTCATACTTTATATTACTTTCTACTATATAAAACTTATCTAATAGCTCATATATTTATCTTAACACGTTTGAAAGGAATTTGCAATCTGAATCACACAATATGGTCATTGACTACTGACGTACAGTATTGCTGATTATGATCAAATGTAGATATCTACTAAGTATTTGATCTGTAATATTTTGTCAAATCTAAACAGGTTTAATAATAGAAACCTGGTCTGTGTGTCCTATTCTGTCCCTGTAGGTGATTTGCAAACTTTGATGTTTTCATTGGAAGATGGAGATGTTGCACAGTCATAGCAGACATCATAACCCATAGAGGATGGATAAGTGAATGGCCTGTGCTGTAGCTTAACATTTAAGGCTGTGAGTGTACTTAGCCAGTGTCCCCCAAAGGAAGGCTGAGACAGTCACTTTACTTTTGTTCTATTAAAAATAAAAAAATAAGGCTTTCATCTTTGTAGTAAGTTACTGGGGAAATTAAGCACTCACAGCACAAATGGTTAACACCTCGACAAGCTGCCCCACGAGTTTACATTTTTCAGATTCTTAAATTTGTAATACCACAGTGTGCAACATCTAGGTATAATAATAATAGGTATAATAATCTGGTATAATAATCTGTTGATACCGTAACATTAAATCTGATTGGTTTGCATGGGCGACATCATATATAAATGGAATGCGGCCCTTGAGACTTGCACTTTGACCATATTGTGGCCCAGTGGAAAAAAAGGTTGAGAACCACTGGAGGAAGATGGATAAGCTATTGTGTATCTGACACATTTAAAGGTGCTCTAAGCGATGTCACGCGTTTTTTAGGCCAAAACATTTTTTGTCACATACAGCAAACATCTCCTCACTAACCGCTGGCTGCCTGTCCCCTAAACACACTGTAAAGAAACGCGATCTCTGTAGACAGCCCAGGCTCCAAAAAAACAGCAACAAAAACAAACTGGGCTAACCCGCTCGACGAAACATGACAAACAGTGCCAGCCAATCACCGACAAGAAGGACTTGGGGGCGGGGTTTGGGGGGTTAGTGCGCGGATGAGGAGGAGGGAGGGTCTAGCTAGCCTTCATTTTGTTTGACAATACTTTAAACGTCAACAAGAAGTCACGTCACCCGACATCGCTTAGAGAACCTTTAAAGACCTGTTCTTCTGAATCCTGGAAATACTACAACTTGACATACCAGGCCAAAGAGTCTTTCACATGTTCAACATTAACCCTTAGAGGCCAACTGGAACACAATACCTTTTATAGGTTAAAACACAAAAAAGCAGTTCATACTTTATATTACTTTCTACTTTATCAAACTTTAATAGCTCAAATATTTATCTTAACAAGTCTGACAGGAATGTGCAATCCGAATCACACCATATGGTAATTGACTACTGACATATTGCTTTTTGTTTATGATCAAATGCAGAAATCTTCTAAGTATTTGATCTGTAATATTATGTCAAATCCAAACATGTTTTGTAATAGAAACACTTTCACACAACCTTCAACAATATGGTATTAACAAGAATAATTATAACGTTCAAAAATATAAGAACAGTTTTATCTGAATGTTGCATAAATGCAGCAGTGTCTCTCAGTGGTCAACAGTTATTAATGTTAATATTAATTTATTTGGTAATCTGAACACTGACTGAACCTCACCCCATCTTGCTTTCTAAAAAAGAACAATTCAACCAGTGCTGCAACATTCTTCAAACAACTGAAAGTAAAATAGCAAAACTCTTCTCATGCATATCATCATAGCATCACGATGGAAAATAAGTAAAACAATTGCAAAGATAACAGTAAAAAGATAATGTTTTGATTCTTAATCTTTCTTGTACTTTTACTTAACAAAAATGAAAAATAGACTGAGGCCAAGCAAAATGTATTTATTTTTCCCTCGTTTAGATAATTCAGAACTTTTTCTCGCCTTAAACAAAATGCCTGAATAAAAAAATGACAACACAATTTTTAGGAAAAGAAAGTCACATTAGTTTATTGCCTACAATAACAATATCACAAATCACCACAGAAAAGGAATGGCCAAATTATGTTTTTGCGTTATTTGAATAAACATGAATCTGATGGTCTTTGTTGTATCAGCACATTCCCTCAAGTAATACAGAATTAATGTACTATATAGAAATAAACGTAAATGATTAAATAATAATTCCTTTATTAGTCCACATGAAGTGCATGGTTTAGAAACCCACAACCAGTGTAGCATCAGTTCCATTAATTAAAACTACTCTAGACAATATGCATGTAAATTGTTGTGGTACTAAACTAAAAGTGTGTGAGGACACTCATCAGAGGAACAAGTATCAGCATCAGAGAACCACACAGACAAGAAGCCTCAGATGCCTTCACTTGTTCTGGGACCCACTTATCTGTGAACAGGGAATATAGTGCAATGCAGTGAAATATAATATATTTACATATAAACCTTTATTTACTGAATAATTAAAATAAATGAGATGTTCACCTGTGTTCCCTTCAGACAACACCAGAGGACCCAGGGATATGGAAGTACTGTCATGGAAGTCCAGAGACCTGCGCTCTCTCCACTGGTGTCCAGAGCCACAGTCCTAATAGAGGAAAGAGCAAAATCCAGCTGTGTGAATCTCTGTTAAATATCACTGAACAAACAAGATAAAGGAGTGCACAAAGTATCCAGAAGAGGGAAGTCTTGAACATTAAGGGCAAGATTTACTAACAGATAGAGCCAACACAAAACCTCTTTTGACATTAAAAAACTACAGTCAGGATTTTCTAGTCTCATAATGAAGAATTAGCCATGAAAACATGTGGACATGTGGAAAACATTGCGGCTTATTACATTATTAACATTACCAATCTAACTAATATTAGTGTTTGATCAACAAGGATTTATAAACTGCAGATTTTAAAACCTTTACATGTACCATTTACCCACTACATTTTACTATAGATAGGCCTACTCCATATACTGTACACAGACAGAGACACTGGCTAATATAATTGATAAATTAGGTTGATATTCAACACATACAGTGAAAAAATATTTCACAACTACAGGCTACTAAAGCAACTCTTGAAAATGTAACATTATAATTTCATGACCTATGAGAGGTTTTGTAAACTGACCGTTGAGCAGCGATTGCTTGACAGAAGGCAAAGGTGAACAGCGCAGTGCAGGTAAAGCCTAGTGGAGTTTGCAGTGAAGATAAACATCCTGAAGGAGAAACGGCTGGATGTCGAGACGCCGTTCTGCAGCAGATCCACTGTGTCGTCATTTGGATTGGGACACCTGAGAATATCAATAATCACAAATCCTTTCAATTTTGTATTAACTGTTTCAAATGATCTCATGCTTTAGTTCTGAAATACTGAAAGACAAAGCATGTAAGGCAATCCTAAAAAGTATATGATTATTATTTATTCAAATGTTACGTTGAGTTAAGGCTATAGGCTTAAAAGAATAGAAAGAAGCCCTGCTTTACTCTGAAAGGATGAGATCCCAGCGGAGGCTGTAATCGGGATCATTCACAGGTGTAGCCCAACACGTGTCCATCACCAGGGCGAACTGGCGGCTGTCGACCCCCTCAACACGAACTTCCACATGCATCTCCTGGTCGAGCTCTGCATCCACTCTACCAGTGAAGGGCCGGGTAAACTCATCATCCTCATATGGGATCATCCGGACCTGATATCTGCCTTCATCTGGAAGAGGCTTGATCACTATGCTGTCGAAATAATGGATAGATCTGTGTTAAAACTTCTTTGTGTTATGGGTAAAATTCTGCTTAAGGAGTAAACCATATATGTTCTTGGTTTAGAGAATATTAGCATATATTTACTTTATATATACACACACACGCATTTAATATTTTGTTTTGGTGAACTACTTTGCTGAAACCAGAATTTGTATTTGACTCGCACCTCTCCAGTGGGTTGATTTCCACATTCATGGAAAGTGTTTGTGATTGAGGATAAACACAGCTGAAAGAAAGCTTCAGGATTTTCTCTCTGCTGATGAGATCTTCTGACCTCGGTGTCCCCAGAATAAAGTTATGATAGATGAAGTGGGTGCCGTTAGCCTGTAGACAACAAATATAACATTTTATAATTTAGCCTAAATTGAATTCAAGGTATTTTAAAAAGGCTGCATCTTTTTGTACTACAGCAGTATTTTCTTTGCACTAAGTAAAAAAAAAAAAAAAAACGTTAGATGCTATTTATAATTAGTGCAAATAGTGGCAGATACTATTTGCACCTTAGCGTATTGTAGTAATAATATTATAAAACAGTCTGCAATAATAATAAATGGACGCTACCTTACAGCCCTTAGAACAATGAACCATGGTTTTGCTACACTAACCATAGTTTAGCCATGGAATTTGTAGTAAAACTGTGGTTATACAATTGGAAATCAATCTGCCAAAAAAAAATGGTTACTATACTTTTACCACAATAAAATGTTTATTTTCGTAAAGGGTGGGAGATTCCTTGTCCCTGTCCCTAAAGCCCACACTACACCTTCCCCTAACCCTACCATATTGAACCTGCTGATCAGTAAAGGTTCTCGAAGGTCCAGGAAGGGAGCCATGGTTTTGAGTGTAGGGAGGTTTGTTTGGGCCCTTTATTTTGTTGTTACAGATTCAGTATCCATACATACCTCTCTAGACACTTCTCAAATTCTCAAAGAGATTCCCCAAGGGGTCAGATCAAACTCTGTTGATCCTATCAGACACTACAAATATTTAGATGGTGTATTGAATAGATTATGCATAGTTAAACCTACCAGAAGATTTGTTCCACAGATGTGTTCATCATTATCAAAATGGAATTCCACTCTGCCATTCCGGACCGTTCCTTTGCAGCTGGGATCATTGAGGTGTAAGACATCAGCTGGAAAACCAGCCTCAAAGAGCTGACAGCGAGACACAGATATAGAGCCAGAGCTGCTTTCACAGGTTTCTGAGAAATCTGAGAGGGGATTAAAAGACAAAATATTGTCATTAAGGTAATGTCGAAACTAATGACGAAAAAATTATTTTTACTTTTTTTTTGTTAAATGATACCAACCAAAAGAGTCAGGTTGTGGTCTGTGATGGTCTTCGTTACATAAACAGCCATAAACACCATTTTTCTTCCCACACCATTCATCCTCAGAGCAGCTGAGCTCAGAACAGCGATCTCTCACATCTAAGAGGAAAAGATAGATAAAATACAGCACAAAGACACTGAGTCATTTTAACAGGGACAACAGTTAACATTCTGGTCCCCTGAATGAATTGTTCTGCAGTCCTCAAGGTTATAAAATATATATTTTTCGAGTGAATTAAATGGGTCATCTAATTTTTAATCATTCCCCCTTGAGATCCATAGATAGTTCACTTTCCATCCACCTGACCATAAGAAATAAATTGCCGGATGGGGGGTGGGGGGTAGGGGGTGGTGATATGTTTGGGATTTCCAAATAAATGCCTTCCAACGATTACTTTTTCACATGATTTGCAGTCAAGTCCAATATCGGTACGGCTGGCTCAATGTGACATGCAGTGTTGGGCAGCAGGATTGCTAAAAAAAATTGCTTAATGGTAGTGCTGATTTTTTTTTATCATAACTATTAAAATCATAGTCTATTAATTTTTTTTCAGGAAACACAGGACGAGATGTAATACATCCTTTAAGTGCAAGCGCGTACCAGGAGAATGTACTTGACCTTGGCAATGTAGTTGTCATAGTGGAGTTTTCCGGTGGGCATCCTAGTACACCTCAGCCTTATTGGATGTTTTGGCCATTATAACTAGACATCCTTGGCTGAGGAAGGCCCTACGGGGGTGATCAAGTCCCCGCAGTGTATCCCCCAATCACCTAATCAAGCTGGAGCCCAGCAAGAGTCTTGTCTCTTTATCCACAGCCACTGGCTGCTTCTCTCAGCTGCCTCAGACATTGCTTTGATGGCCTGGTGCAGACTCTGGCCTCTGATTCCCAGGTCTCCAAGCAGTCTGGTGGTAGACACTGACACAAACCCCCTGCACCCCACCTCCACTGGACGGACTTCAGTTTTCCATCCGCGATCTTGTGCTTCAGCAGCCACCTCAGCATAGCGTAGTTGTTTACGCTCATATGCCTCATCCACTGAGTCCTCCCACGGTACAGTGAGTTCAATGATGAAGACCTTCAGAGAGAGGGACCAGAGAACTATGTCAGGCCTAAGTGTGGTGATTGCAATCTCTGGAGGAAAAACGAGCCGCAGACCAACATCCACTAGAATCTTCCAGTCACAGGCCCCTCGAAGCTGACCATGCTCCAGAGAAGTGGGCCTGCAACTGGCTACCTTTGCCCCCATGCGGACAAAGTTGATATGCAGTGGATTGGGTGCTGATGGTGGTAGGGTTTGGAAGCAGTCCGTTTGTTTTCCAGGGTGGCTGCGAGGATCTTAAGGACTTGGTTATGACGCCACGTATAACGTCCCTGGGTGAGGCTGACTCTACACCCGGTCAGTGTGTGCTTGAGAGAACCTGGTCTGGAGCAGAGGGCACATCCTGGATCTTCACCCAACCACTGATAGAGAGTTTGCTAGGTGTTGGAAGAACATCATATGTAGCCCTGATGATGAAGCTGATTCGCTTCGCTTCCATGCTCCACAACTCCTTCCAGCTGATCCTCCTCCTCTCCACACTCTCCCAACGTGTCCATTGTCCCTGTTTACCAAGGGAAACTGCCTTGGTCCACCTTACTGCTTCTTCCTGCCGATGTATTTCCTCCACCACCAATTTCCTCCGTTCTGGTGCCGTGGCTGTATTCCAGTTGTTAGTTGTTAGCCCAAGGCCTCCTCTTCCCTGCTGGACATGCCCCAAAATGTCCGCAAGGCTGAGAGCGGTTGCTGCATCCTCCACCGCACTAGCTGGACTCCATTTGCGGCCTGCCACCAAGGTTGGTGCGTTGTTACTCACCATTGCATCACGAGATTCTATCAGTGTCATCTGAAGTCTTACTTTAGCACACTTGAATTCCTCTGTGAGACTGGTGAGGGGCAGTTCGAGGGCGCAATCTCCGTAGAGGCCTATGGTGGTAAGGCATCGAGGCACTCCAAGCCATTTCTTGATGTAGCCTGTGATTCCTCTTTCCAACTTCTCCACCGTTGAGATTGGGACCTTAAAAATGGTAAGGGGCCACAGCACTCGGGGAAGAAGGCCAAACTGTAAACACCAGGCCTTCAATCTTCCAGGGAGCTGAGTGTTGTTAATAGCCTGGAGCCCACTTCTGATTTCTTTCCGCAGCTGCTGTACCTGATCTTTATCCTTCAGCAGTGGTGTAGTCTACGTGATACGCAGGTATACGCCGTATACCCACTAGAAAATGTCAAGGATTTCCGTATACCCACTAGGAAAGGCCAAGGATCTCCGTATACCCACTTAAAAAAGCGCGAGTATTCTTAACAACATCGTTTTGTGACAGAACTTTCATTCATAAATTCACCCCGCCGTCTGTGTTTGCGCAGCGGATCGAATCGCGGAATCCAGTCACAAATGTAACTTAGCCTACTGTAAAGCGGAACGTCACGCAATTTGGCCATTTTTGAAAGAATAAATCAAAAGTAGGGATGTACAACGAATCAAATCCCGATATGTACTAGTGTGTAAACTAGTGTACTAGTGTGTAAAGCTCAAAAAGACTGCTATAGAAATAAACTCTGCATGTTCTGCGTGTTTCTGTGAATGAGCGCTCAATGTGTGCTCTACTAGCTACACACTGAAGCGCGCGTTACACTCATGGGGCTCTATCTTGCACTCGGCGCAAATGACTTTGTACACTGACGCTTGTATCATTCCTATTTTGCACACGCGCAAAGCGGGCTTTTCCCTCCACAGACACACGTCGGTTAACTAAGAAATACACTTGCGCTCCCCGGGGCGGTTCAGCGCAAAGAGGAGGCGTGTTCCGGCGCAAACTTTCCCTCATGCTATTTTGCTGTTCTATAAAACAAATGCGCCACTGACCAGAAAAAAAGTAGTCTAAAGTCAGTGGCGTGTTGCGCGTTGTTCATTATGCTATTTTAAGGGCGCATGCTTGGCCATAATCAATGTAGCGTGTGCACAACGCGCATACACTTTGATTCTCTCATCTAAGCAGCAGTTTTCATTTTTGAAAATCATACATTATTACGATAGATAGATAGATAGATAGATAGATAGATAGATAGATAGATAGATAGATAGATAGATAGATAGATAGATAGATAGATAGATAGATAGATAGATAGATAGATAGATAGATAGATAGATAGATAGATAGATAGATAGATAGATAGACAATTTATTATAAAAGCATTCGTAGCTTACACATTTACCCAAATTATCATCCGCCTGTTTAACAGAAATTGATTTGAGTTTCTCCATCCCCAATGTCACTTCTCTGTGTTTTACGGCCCTGACGAGAACGTTGCTCTCCTCGGCTGTGAACCGCTCCTGGCGCGCGCCAGGCAAATCCACCGTTATAATAGGAATCCGCTTTAGAAAAAGCGCGCCCGCTCTTAAAGGGAATGTGAGATGACGCTCTGATTGGTTTATTTCACGTTACGCCCAAACCACACCTATGAATAATGAAGCTACTTCAGACAAACCCTTTTTAGATTAGCGTCGGGCGCAAGAGGCATTTATCCCGCCGGGAAAATAGCAACAGCGCCGGGATCCGCCCACAAAGTTACTTGCGCTTTGCGCTTTGACACTTGCGTTTCAGATCGTTAAAATAGGGCCCATGGTGTTTTCAGCGTCTATGAAGAGGACATGCACACATTTGAACTTCATCGCAGACCTTTTATGAGAGTCACTTCACAAGAATTTTACCATTTCATTTGATAAAATTATCGTCATTCATTCGTATCATATACACTCACTTAAAGTCACTTTAAGACACTGGAGTCACTTATACACTTAAAGTCTTCATGACAACCTGTCAAAATAAAAGTTTTGTATAACGAAGAAAATATAACAGAAATATATTACTATTGCACAGTAGAGTATACTTCAAGTAGGCCTAATAATAATAATAATAATAGTTTATTAAAACACACAGAAGCTCAAATGTCTTTAATTTACAACCCACCATAATAAAAGTTTGTAGAGAGAAAGAAAGTAACTCGAAGGAATTATTAAAGAAATTGCATAGTAAGATGTAGCCTACTTTTTAAAATAATAATAATAATCAAATCTATTAAAACATACTTTTAAAGGAATATCACACAAGTTTTCACACGGGGGGGTAATATCACAGTATACTCACTACAAAAAACTAGACTACACCACTGTCCTTCAGGCTGGCATTAAACCACCTTCCAAGGCTCTTAACGGGCTGGTCAGATACTGTTGGGATGGGCTCCTCTCCAATGAAGAATCTGCAGTCAGAGAGCACCCCCTTGACAATGGAGATGCTGCGTGACTTTGATGGCTTTATCTTCATGCGAGCCCAGCTGATGTTCTCTTCCAGTTTTCCGAGGAGCTTCCTGGTACATGGTCATGGAGCAGTGGTGGTCAGAGTAGTGATGTCATCCATCAAAGCTCTGAGGGGAGGAAGGCGAGTGCCCAATTTAAGCCGCTGCCCACCCACTACCCATTTTGACGCCCAGATGATGACCTCCATTGCCATTGTAAAGGCCAGGGGTGAGATGGTGCATCCCGCCATGATGCCAACCTCCAAGGATTGCCAAGACGTGGTAAAATCAGCTGTGGTAAAACAGAACTGCAGGTCTTGGAAGTAGGATTTAACCAAGGTGGTAATAGTGTCCGTAATGTGAAAGAAGGTGAAGGCGGCCCACAGGAGTTCATGGGGCAACATCATGGAGGTCCTTTTTCCTTGCCTTTGCGGTCTGGATCTGGTGCCAGATCATGCTAGAGTGTTCCAAGCATTCAAAAAAGCCTGAGATTCCTGCTTTCTGTATTGATGTATCAATGTACTTATTTCTTTGAAGGTATTCGGACATCCTTTTAGCAATGACGCTGAAGAAGATTTTACCCTCTACATTTAGTAAGGATATTGGCCGAAATTGGCTGATGTTCTCCGCCTTCTTCTCCTTTGGGATCAGGACCCCCCTACGCCACACTTTGGGCACCATCTTCCTCTGCCACACTGTTCTCATGAGCTTCCAAAGAAACCTCAGGACATGCGGCGCGTTCTTGTATACCTTGTATGGGACTCCATTAGGACCTGGTGCTGATGCCGCCCTTGCCCGTTGTACTGCCTTTTCCACTTCTCTCCAGGTTGGAGGACCAGTCTCCATCTGATGTTCTGGAGAGTTAATTGGTGGGATGTCTGGTGGAATGGTCATCCGTTCATGTCGTTTTGGATCAGAGTGTGTCGCTTTTAGGTGATCTTCTAGGTCTTTCCTTGCTGCCTTCAGAGATCCACTTTTCTCTCTAATGAAAAGGCTTTTTAGAAACTTGAAGGGGTCTTTGTAGAACTGTGTTCTAGATCTTTCTTTTTTCCTTCTGCGTTTCCATAGGTTTTCTGCTCTGCGGAGGGATGCCAATCGGTTTTTGATGTCAGCTTGAAGCACCTCAATGCCTTCCTTTTCATCCTCCAAGGCTTTCTTCCACTGCTTCCGAAGTTGCCTCCTCTGTTGGATGAGGCGTTTGATCTCTTGTTGCATCCTGGAGGTTGTCGTAGTTGGAGACTTTTTCTGGCCTTTCCCTTCTTGTATACCAACTTCTTTTCCGCTGTGCCTTCTACGGTCAGGGACAAATTGCTGTTGATTGCTTCCCACTGTTTCTTGTCGGCAGCAGCTGGCCATTTCACTCGTGGTCTGTGCCCGACCAGCCTCCTCTCGATCGCGGGTCTGGAAAGTTGGGTGGGATTCTGTGATGTTGCCATCTCTGTGCTTGAGGGTACTTCCTTGATGACAGTGGTGCTGATGCACTGCAAGCTGTGGTTTAGGTCCGGTTGCTGTGCTTCATTCGACTGACTTGACTCCTTCAGCAGAAGGTAGTCATTGCGAGGCCCCTGTCTCTGGTTTCCCAAACACTTTCTCTTCCCCTGATGAATCCTCAACCCATGGTATGACGTTACTTTCCTCTAACCGCAGGCACATATCTGAAGTGTGCGGTGCCCTGCTGCAGATGTAACTACGACAATTCCTGTGGTGCTCTCCTGGTCTGCGCTTTTTCTATTCGTAATCGATTCCGGTCCACGGTCTGTTACCATAGTGTCAGCCGATGAGTCTTCTTGCACCCTCGCTCTCGCAGACTCTGAGGGTATTTTCTTCTGTTGTGTTTTCGTAGCCATAGCGGGTGTTTCCATATGCTACAAAAGCTATGGAAACTACAGCCATGGGTAGCTAGCCCATGACCGTCCCATTAGGGTCTGTTCCCTCCTGCCAGCTGTCTCTCCATGCCGTCACAAGGACTTTCCCCTGTCGTCAGCTGATCTTTCTCAGCAGTCACTGGACTTGTCCAGATATTCAGTTTTCAGGAAACACAGGACGAGATGTAATACATCCTTTAAGTGCAAGCGCGTACCAGGAGAATGTACTTGACCTTGGCAATGTAGTTGTCATAGTGGAGTTTTCCGGTGGGCATCCTCCCTTGATGGGTGATCCGAGGGACACATCGTCAGTAGTACACCTCAACCTTCATTGGATGTTTCGGCCATTATAACTAGACATTAAGAGCTAGCTGACTGATTTGTGAATTAATCATGTTTTTAAATTGTCATTCTTTTCTATTAATTTAGAAAATCAGTTAAACGTTAGATCAAAATCAGATCATGATTGTGAATCGTTCAGAAAGCTCATTCATCCTCTGAATCATTTGGAATCAGTTTCTCACTCTGAAAACTGTAACAGTAACACACAAAAAAAAAGACAAAAAATAAAAAAACTTGAATCCTATGTACCCGAAAACCCCACCCTGCTACTTTCTCTAAAGGTTAGCTTTCAGGTTAGTTCAGCTACCTACATTTTTAGTAACACTGGTGACAAAATCACAAAATAATCTGTGCTGAAATGTGATTTTGACTTACCGCACCGCAGACCCGAGCGCCATTCTGGGATCTGTATCTCCAAGATGGCACAAGCTGTCTCATAGGCCTCAACAGCTGAACATAGCATGCCATTTGTACGTGTGTAGAGACACAGATCATACACACAGGAGTAGAAGTAAGGTGCCGGGTCAACATGAAGATGGCAGTTCTGGAAGGGGCCAGAGGTGTTGGTGATAATACTACAGAGATCAGAATACCTCTGCCTGGATGGACACTCATCAACATTACCAGTCTGGTCTCTGGCACCGCAGCTGAAGAATACAAGGAAACTTTAGGTCAATTATATGTTTATATTTCAACAGAGAGAGTTTTTAATTTGGACACTGAGCACTCAACACAATACTAAAAGTAAAACAGAAAATTTAACATTTGAATGAAATCAACATTTGGAAGCGACTCTTTCTCTTTCTCTTTCTCTTTCTCTTTCTCTTTCTCTTTCTCTTTCTCTTTCTCTTTCTCTTTCTCTTTCTCTTTCTCTTTCTCTTTCTCTTTCTCTTTCTCTCTCTCTCTCTCTCTCTCTCTCTCTCTCTCTCTCTCTCTCTCTCTCTCTCTCTCTCTCTCTCTCTCTCTCTCTCTCTCTCTCTCTCTCTCTCTCTCTCTCTCTCTCTCTCTCTCTCTCTCTCTCTCTCTCTCTCTCTCTCTCTCTCTCTCTCTATTTTTGGTTTCTCCCAATCGAGGTTGGCAGAGCAGAGTCATCCACATAGTTATTCGGCACATTTTACTGATGTAACCCTGAGCAGCACCGAGAGTGCAATAGCGTGTGCAACCTTAGAGGCTGGGACACTCACACTTACTCCATTTGCAATTTAGTGCATCCAATTCACCTAACCCCCATGTCTTTGAATTTGGGTAAAACCCATCCTGACACAAGGAGAGCATGCAAACCATATACAGTACATAAAGGCCTCTTGGCTCAGCCAGGGAATGATAAACCAATGCAATGGCAATTTGTAAATACAAATATGTTACATTTATGCAATGTTTCAGTCTGTCAGCAGCAAACAATTCCCTCCATTTCACTTTGATTGCATTTGATAGGGGCTTTAATGGCAAATGATTCATATTGCTTTCAAGACATACATTTTATCAGTTTATGTATTTCCTGGGAATCAAACCATGCATTGATAGTGCCTTGCCCTACTGTTTGAGCTGAAAGAACTCACAAATCATGAACCCTTTTCTCCATCCATCACAACCCAAAAGGTGGATCACAACCCACCAGGTAAAAATGACTGTCCTAAAGTCTTGTGGTTCTTACCCTGGAATGCTGGTGTCTGATTTCCAGCCGTGGCCAAAGGAAATGTCATCAGAAGCGAGTTCTCCACTGGGCAGCACTTTGTCATCCGCAGGATTACCATTGAAATTTCCACACATTCCACATAGAGATCCATAGAATCTTTCACTCACTCTGACTAGAAGGCTGCTATGTCCATCAAAATGGACAATAAATTCATTGAATGCATTTAGAATTACAAATCCCTGCTCCTCATGTACCTCTACAAGATCATTGATTTGATAAGCCGGTGTGTCAATAGCATTTCCATCAACCTGGAGGAGAGTCAGAAAATTTCAACATAAGAAAAGAGAAAAAGTTAAATATGTATTTATATTGGCATCAATTAAAGAGTAACTTACTTTAATTCTCCTGTTCTGCCCAATACTGATGTGCATATGTTGTTCATATTGAGACAACCAAACATCCACTGCAGACACAAATGACACCAGCATGTTCCCCCGGTGCCTGTTGGTGGCCACTACACGGAACTGCAGATCACTGTCCGTAACATTACCGCAGGTCTGGGCAATCTCATAGGAACATGTTCCCTGGTAGGATTAATACAATATACTTACTACTGGTTTTACAGACAAGGCTAAGCCTAGTCCCAGATTAAAATGCATGTTTGAGCTGTTTTAACTGAAAGCAACTTGCACTGACATATCATAAAATATGTCAGTGCCATTGTTTTGTCTCAAGATGCAGACCAGTTTTTTCTAAGGCATGTTTATAAAAGCTACTTAAATGTCCTAATTAAATTAAAGCTTAATTCTAGTTTAATTTAACCCTTGTCTGTGAAACCAGGCCATAGTCTTCATAATTTCTTTCACATTCCTTACATAAATATCTTGCAAGACATTGTATACGTTCATAAATATATGAATATTCTTCAATTTATGAAATACATTTGAAACCCAACTCCATTTAGATATTCTAATACCAATAAGCATCATTTGAATAAACTTAACTGTCAAGTCATTTGTCCTCTACTGGGACACAAAACAACAGTTGAGGTAGTTGTCTGCAGAAACAGCAGTTAACCAGTTCATACCTGAAAGTGGGCCACAGCCCCATCAAAGGTGATGTAGTGGGGGTCGCCCCAGACTGTGCAAGTGGACATTGGACTGAAGCAGTCACGGCGTCCATTTCTGACCGCACACTCCATGGCCGCTGGGCAGAAAGATGCAGTGCAGCGTAGATCATTTGGAGCAAAACACTGACAGCGTTGGGAGCATGTTGAATCCCAGAACTGTTCCCCAATCTACAAAAGCAACAATGACAACAAACTTTACATTTCCATAACATAACACCAGTGAGTATTTTACTTACAAAAATCATGGTATCACCATGTCGTTTTTAGGAGTGAATGCAAATCAAAGTATTATGATGATACCATCTTTTTACAATGGTCACACCACAGTTTTTTTGATAAGTGCTTGAGATGATGTATGTTGCCATAATATGCTACGGCTGTGCTTCCCCTTATCCACTGCCCTGTATAATAAGTCTTAACATAAAAACATGATGTTTTAATCCTCACATGATAGTAGAATCCATCATACAAGCAGCCACATTGTTCCACTGGTACACAGAGTCCTCCACTTCTCACAAATCCCTCATCACAGAAACAACCTTCTGAGCATGTGTGTTCACAACTAGCATCGATGCTGCTGGCGCATGTGTGGCCACAGTCTGTTCCACACACCTCATAATGACTGTTTGGGATGTTTGAAGAGCAGTCCATGACTGGCAATGTAACAAAAAAAGTATGTACATGAAACATAAATGTTATTCATAATATGTACACTATTAAATATTTGAGATTAAATGAAAACTCCTTGAATAAGGAAAATATTTAGTTTAATTGCACTGGTCTTTTTAAATATCTCCAGTCACTTACCACACGATGCAAGTTCTCTCCAGGGGTAGACCATGGCATTGACAGATTGACAAGCACTCACATAAGATTGGACAGAGTGACACAAGACATCGTTGTGGTTCCCAGAGATGCACACATCAAACACACAGTTATCAAAGTAGGCTTGTGGATCTACAGAACTGTGGCAGAAGCTAAAGGGACCCTGATTGTCTCTGATGATCTCACACAATGCTTGAGTTGTGCTCTCATCTTGGCACAAAGGACAATCGTCTCCACAGCCATGATTGCATGACATGTCATTTTCAACCATCCATTCTTCCCCAAACTGGTCCACTGAAGGTGCCAAAGCACCTGAAGGAGTGAGGAAGTCATCCTCCGGATGGCCATTAAAGTTGCCACAGATTCCACACATAACTCCACTGTAGTCTGCTGGCACAACAATGTTAACCTCCCAGGAACCACCATAACTGACACTGAAACCAAAGTCAGTTGAAACATAGACAAACTGTCCTGTGGAGTAGACAGACACTCGACCAGAGTCAAGATAGACAGGGAGGTTTCTGATCTCTTCATCAACCTAATTGAAGAAAAAGTTGAGCTTGTTTATACAACCATTCTTATCAATACTTACATTGATTACAGTTTGTGGGACTTGCTTATCTTAACAGCAGAGCTTACCTTAACAGCAGAATAACTGTTCATGTCCTGTGACATTTGCACAAGATGACCAGAGACATTGACAAAAACTTCAACAGTTATTGACACAGGCCATCCATTCCATGCTTCATTTCTTGCATCAACTTGGAAGTGTGGTAGTCCACGGGTATCATTGCACACTGTGGCTAGCACATATCGGCATGTGCCTTGAAAGTCAAAGTAGGTTCTATCAAAGGAGATATAATGTGGATCTCCAGAAGCATAACAGCTACCGTGTGGATGAGGATGGCAGCCATACTCCCCCTCCACCACACTGCAGATTTCTTGGTCACTGCAAGATGATGGTGTGCAATGGACATTTCCAGTGATTCCATCACAGACACACTGGAACTGGCACTCTTCACCATGCCAGAACTGCTCTCCAGGCTGCCGATAGCGACCATCATAGTGGCAGCCGCAACCAGTGGGGGGAACACAGCGATCTCCATCCAGCACCAGTCCATCATCGCACTGGCATCCCCCCTGGCATGGCAGAGCGCACTGGAAGGGAAACGAGAGGCTAGGACAGGACGCAGGACAGGATGTGCCACACAGTTCAAAATGGGTATTAGCTGGACAGTTGGGATCTGAGATAATTAAGATAAAACGGGACGGAAAGGCAATGAATGATCAGAATTTTGAAGAAGATACTGTATATAGTTTTAATTCTGAAAATCTTATCACCTCACACGATACTAACCACAGTGAGTGATACTCCTCCACTCTCCAACTGCAATGCCATTCTGTTGGCAGTGTAGTGTGTACCCTCGCAGGGCTTCACATAGAGCCTCCCTGGCACCCTCCGTCTGCTCCAGCATCTGAATGCAGTCTTCAATCCGCTGCCAAGGGTCTAGTGTTCTGCTGCATTCAGAAAATGGTCCATCATTCATTGTCATGATGCTGCAGAGCTCACTGAACTCGCTCCTGTTCTGATAAAGTCCTGGTTCCCAAATGTCAGCTGGGTCCTCACAGTGGGCTGACAGGGATCCGTCACGCCAACTATCTCCAAATAGCTGGGAGTCATCCAGCAGGACCCCATCCGGGCTGAAGAATTCATCATCAGTGTTTCCATTCAAGTTCCCACACAGACCTCCAAGTGTACCATTGTAAGTGGTTGGAGCCGTAATTCGGACAATGTGTGGCCAGTCAGCTCTAACGGTCACTCCAAAGTTTGTCTCCAAAACAAAACCCCACACACTACTGTGATAGATGTGGATCTGACTGGAACCAACACTGATGGGAAGGCCAACCATTTGTCCATCCACCTGAAGAGAATATTAAAGTTAATTGATCTAGCGTATGAATTTGAAATAATATAGTTAAACTGCTCCAAATAAATGACAAGCTAAGATTTTTTTTGCTAACCTGTACATTGCTACCTTCTCCCAATTCAATGGAAA